TGGTAGCCCATGGCAACCCACTGCAGCAGGGACTGCAGCCTACACTGTCGCCGGTGACTCACGGCAGCCCAGTTCCAGGTTAAGTTGTTGTTCAGCATCTTAGCTGTAGAGGACAATGTCACTGGCCTTCATATGTGGGATCCGAACCGGGGCCCTCTGGCATCCCAAGCCAGCTCTTAACCATCGTGCCACTCGGCCGGCCCTGTAAAAATACATTTATGACTCTTGAATAATTTTTAAAATGTTGTGAGGGACAGGATTGGCTCTTCCAGGGGTCGGCAAACTTTTAAGATGGACCGCACCCAAAGAGCCGCATGTGGCTCGCAAGCCGTAGTTTGCTGATCCCTGGTCTAGGAGAAGGGTTTTGTTGCACAGCCTTTTCGTTGGCAAAACAGTACCATCTAAACAAATAGGAATGTGTGTTATTGGGAGCATTGTTGCAAAAACATTGGCAATATTGTGATTTACAAGAAACACATATTTGGTCTTCGTGCTCCATTTCTGGCTCACAGGTCCCAGAACTCTTGGAATTTCCTAAGTGGGGGTAGTGGGGAGTGTCTTTTGTTACATTAATGAGGTAACTTTTGGAAAGCACCTAAGGATGGAGGCTGGTTGCCATTGGAACTAACCATGTGATTAGAGGGTTGGAACTTTCAGTCCCCACTGTGCGCACACACACCCACACCCACACCCACACCCAGGGAAGGGAGAGGGACTGGAAGTTTAATCAGTCACCAAATGGCCAATGATTTAGTCAGTCATGCCTATGTAATGAAGCCTTTATAAAAACCCGAGCGGAGGGGGCTTGGAGAGTCTCTGGGTTGGTGAACACGTGGAGACGCAGGGAGACTTGCACGCCTGGAGAGGGCATGACAGCCCTTCTACATACCTTGCCCTGTGCGTCTCTACCATCTGGCTGTGCCTGAGTTATTAATACATCCTTTTACAATAAACCAATGATATAGTCAACATATTTTCTGGGTTCTTTGAACGGTTCTAGCAAATTAAACCCAAAGAGAGGGTTGTGGGAACCTCTGATTTATAGGCAGTTGGTCAGAAGTGCAAGTAACAGCCTGAACTTGCAGTTGGCAAGTTGGAGGGAGTCATTGAAACCTCCATTCTATAGCCAGTTGGTCAGAAACACAGAGACGCTGGGGTTTTGTCTGGGCCTGAAGTGTGTGTGGACGGGGTGGGGATGGGGGCAGTCTGGTAGGACTAAACTCTTAACCTGTGGGACCTGATGTTATCTCTGGTAGATAGTGTCAGAATTGAGTTGAATTCTCAGACATCTTGCTGGTGTCTCAGAATAGTTTGTTAGTGTAGGGGGACTCCTCGCCCTGTGATGGAATTGGGTCTGGGAATCCAATTTAAGGACACTGTTTTCACTGGGCAGCAGCCACAGTTAGTTTCCCCAGGTCTTATGAGGAAGAGCTCCTGGGATACTTCATGCATCATCATATAGCTGTAAGAAAGCTAACGTTATCTGCATACTTAGGTATCAGGATGTTTGTGTTTATGTAGATGCAAAAATTGTTTCACATAGATTGAATAAAGGTGTCATGACTTATGCTTAGAACATTCCATTTTCTGCTTTGTCTTTTTTTATGTTTTCATAGTTGATAAAGTTCAAAGTTTGCTAGTTCCTATGAAATTCCCGATACATCACCTGGCCCTGAGCTGTGATAACCTCACACTCTCCGTGTGTATGATGTCCAGTGAATATGGTTCCATTATCGCTTTTTTTGATGTCCGCACATTCTCAAATGAGGTAAGCTACTGGCAAACTATATTGTCAGTATGGGACCTGTGATTTCCTGGTATTGAATCACAACCTAGAAATTCTTAGTTGACCCGGTAAGTCTTTTCCTAGATTAAAATATGAGTTTAAAAAAGGTCCTTCATTGTAGAATCATAAATCTTTGAGGTAGAAGGGACTTGAAACAATTATTTCTTAGCACCACCTGCCTTAAGGCATTACCATTTTTCATTTACATATGAGACAGCTAAACCCTCGGGAGCTTCAGGTAACTTGCCCAAGGTCACAGAGTTAATGGTGATGTCAGAAGGTCCTACCTCCTGGGTCTGGACTCCTAATGCAGCATTCTTCCATCCCCAGCAGTTTAGCAATGGTGATAGTAATGTTGAATGTTTATGCTGACTGTGTGCCAGCTGCCCTAGTGCTCTCCATGCCTTATTGTTCATGCCTACCACAGCCTTACACAGTAGGTACTATTGTCTTCATTTTATAGGTGGAGAAACAGGCCCAAAGAGTTTAAGTAACTGGCCAGAGGCCCAGCACTATGAAGAAGCAGAGCCCAGATTTTAATCGAGTGTCTGCTCTTGATCGATGACTTTGCATTTGTGTATCCCCTTCCGGGAGTCCCTCCACTGTGCTAGACTAACTGATTGCCATTTTCAAAGCTGTGTGGAAATTACCTGTAACAAAGAGGTGGTTGTGTAGAGCTAATTTTTTTTCATAGACCTGGAGAAAAGTGAACTGTAATTTGAGAAAACGTCCATATTCAGTCATTTTCTTTGACTATTAAATGTCTATGTATTTATTAAGCTTCTGGGCATTTGTTTTAAAAGGCTAAACAGCAGAAACGGCCATTTGCCTATCACAAGCTTTTGAAAGATGCAGGAGGCATGGTGATCGACATGAAGTGGAACCCCACTGTCGCCTCCATGGTGGCAGTTTGTCTGGCTGATGGCAGCATTGCTGTCCTGCAGGTGACAGAAACCGTGAAAGTGTGTGCGACGCTTCCTTCCACCGTAGCAGTAACGTCCGGTGGGTAACAAAGGCCTTCACTCTGTAATATGTAGTGATGGTAATCTAGTTAAAAATTAGTTTCTGAAATAAAAGCAAATGGGGTTTTTGTTGTATCCATTGTTTGGTGGAAGTAGAGAGAGCATTTTTTATTTCCATAGTTAATGTCTTTGAAGCCAAAACGGCCTAGATGATTTAACTTGAATGCTTGGGTGTCTTGGAGAAGGAAATATTTTGGTGCAGCTGGGTTAGAACTGTGTTTTTGAGAATAATTGTTTCTGGATCTATAGTAGTTGTACTCTGAAAGTCATTTATACCTTTTGGGAAGAAAGCATTAAAAGCGTCAGACAGGAGCAAGAGAATGATTTCTTGATATTTGAAATCTTTCTTCCCTTGTCTTATCTAAGACTAGAGTTTTGTGTACCTTCCGGCTTTCAAACGGGCAATGTGCCATTGAAAAAGTGTTTTTAGTCGTCGATTCAGTGGTCCAGTCATAAATCATAATTGGCTGGTATCATTAAAATGATTTTTCTCTTTTTTACTTTGCTGAGTAAGGATGATCCCACAGTCTTCCATGGACTAAACGAGAAGTGGTGATGACGTAGCTGCTGTGGTACAGATCTCACTGATTTGTGCCGTTTTCTTCAGTTTTTAATGGATAGCCTTCTCTTTTTTGCTCAGTGTGCTGGAGCCCCAAAGGAAAGCAGCTGGCAGTGGGGAAACAGAATGGAACTGTGGTCCAGTATCTTCCTGTAAGTCTTGCCTGGGACTTCAAACTGTTCTTACTGAAGCTACCCACTGGTTTAGTGGTGGTTTCGGAGTGTCTTTGGTGTTTTTTCCTATTGAATATGCTTTATGCTCATTGCAACACATTCATCAGCACACAAGTGAATGCAGGAAAAGGGGAGCTTGTCTCCCCCTCCCATGGTCCTTCCAGAGGCACCCCCTCATTCCGCCGAGTGGGGGCCTTCCGGACTTTTCTGCTTATCCAAATAGCCTGTGGGTGGATGCATTATTTTTGTTTTGCTTTTTAAATAAAATGTGATCACACTCTCCTTGAGATACTGGCCTCTGAGGTGAGGTGCAAAGTGATGAGGTGAAGGTCTCATTCCTTATTTGTTATCGCAAAAAGTTATGTGAAATTTGGCACATATTCTTTTAGGGCATTAGCCTGTGAAAAGGTAAGACAGTTCGTTTAATTTTATTGGTTAACTGTTTGCCTTTAAAAAAAAAAAAAAAGAACTTAATAGTATATTGGAGTCCTTTGTCCCAGTCCTTAAGTACAGAGCCACTTCCTTCTTCTGGATGTCTGCACAGTATTCCACTGTGTCAATGTGCCATAATTTCTCCGTCTCTTACATTATTGGTGGGTGTCTGTGTCGGTCTGAGTGATTTTGCTACTAAAAATAGTATTGCGTTGAACACTCTTGTTACCTGTATCTGAACACATTCACATGCGTATTTCCGTAGGATAGTGTCCTAGAAGTAGGCATCCACTCTTGTCTGTTCAGCCTCTCCTAGCTGGGGAGATGAGGCCTGGGTGGCTTCTAGGGGAACATCACTGGTTTGACAGTTTCGTTGGTTTAGGGGCTGTTTCATTTGACGCTTATTTTTTTCAAATCTCTTTCAGACTTTGCAGGAAAAAAAAGTCATTCCTTGTCCTCAATTTTATGAGTCAGATCATCCTGTGAGAGGTAACAACTTCTGCTTTTCTTATTGGGCTGACCTCTGATGAGGTGCGGTCTGTATTATAGAACTTCCAAATCGTGTGAGATGCCTACATACCTGCTCGAGGGAGTGTTGGTGCCTCCTGTATGATTGATTACTCTCATTACTACATCAGTTAGCTAATTAAGTCAGTTAACAGTAAGCTGGTAGGGCCGGCCGAGTGGCGTGTTGGTTAAGAGTTGGCTTGGGATGCCAGCTCTGAGCAGCAGATCCCCGGTTTCGGATCCCACATGAGGGCCAGTGACACTGCACCCTCTACAGCTAAGATGGTGAACAACAGCTCAACCTGGAGTTGGGCTGCCATGAGTCGCCGGCGACGGCGTGGGCTGCAGTGGGGCTGGCCGGCAGCTGGCGTGTGCTTTTGTGAGCCGCCATCCAATGTTCCAGTGAATGACTGCCTCACCTAGGAAAAGCGCAATGATAATACCAACATGGGCCAGTGAAGCGACGTCCTCCACAACTAGACTGAAGAACAAAAGGACAGCAACTTGTCTGTTCCCCTTCCCCAATTCCCCAATAAAATCTTAAAAAAACAAAAAAACCAGTAAGCTGGTAGACACACCTGTGTCTCATGGTAAATGACATTAAATGGATCCTGACTTTATTTTTTTATTTTTTTTTTTATTTATTGGGGAATAGTGTGTTTTTTCAGGACCCATCAGCTCTAAGTCAAGTAGTTGTTTCAATCTAGTTGTGGAGGGCGCAACTCAGTGGCCCATGTGGGTATCGAACCGGCAACCTTGGTGTTATGAGCACTGCGCTCTAACCAACTGAGCTAACTGGCTGCCTCTGGATCCTGATTTTTTAAATTAAAATTCTTCATAATTTACTCTGATTATAATCCACCAGAAAAAAATACCACTTTGGGATACATTTGAACTTCTAATCAATGAAATCGGGACCTTTGTTAAAGCTATAGTAGTAGGGTTGTTTTTAGTCCATAAGATGTTAATTTTATAACATACAGGGGCTTTTCCAGACATAAGGTGCTTTATTGTGATGTGTGTCTTTCAGTTCTAGATGTGCTGTGGATCGGTACGTATGTCTTCACAATAGTATATGCTGCTGCAGACGGGACCCTGGAAACGTCTCCAGATGTGGTGATGGCTCTACTCCCGGTTTGTATATGAAAAATTATCTTTTTTGTTTGACAATTATAGAAGTCTTCTAATAAAATCTGAGGCTTAGGCTTCAGTTTCCTTTTCTTACTGGTAGTGATGATGCAACTTCAGTGCTGCCCCATTGGCCTGGGCGCCAGTCGTGTTATTGAATGGAAGAGGGCCTGCCCACTCAATGTGCAGGAAAGCCAAACACTGAACACAGACAGGTTTGCAGTGGAGAAATGAAAACCATTGTATTTGCAGAGCACCTGCAAGGGGAATGGGAAGCTATTGCTTAAAACCCGAGCTCCCTGATGGCTTTTAATAAGGGTTTTTAAAGGCAAAGATTGAGGGTTTAGGGGTTTGGGGGAACAGGATGATGTGCAGAAGCCCTGAGTGGAGAGCTTTGGAGCCATTTATGGTAAGATGGGAAGGGGCTTCAGCACCAATCCTCCAGCACAACGGACCCTTCGCTTCGGAAAGGGTTCTGGTGTTCAACTTGGGTCCATGAGGGGGCAAAACGTTGGTTCCGGGTGCTGCTGGAGGTCAGAGTTCTCTCCTCTGCATATGCTTTGGCTGCATGACTTGTGGTTTTTGTCTGTTGTCTCTGAAAAGCAATTTAGTATCTTGTTAGAAACAGGATAAGACCATTTTGAGCTGGTTCTGCAGTTAAAATTATGTGTCCATTTAGGGCATGTTCCATTGCAATCCTAAGGTGAAAAATACCATAAAACTCACTTTTGCCTAAGCTATAAACTGAGTTGTTAGATGTTAACCTGATAAATTTTAGAAAAGCAAGAAAATATCTTGATTTTTAAAATGCTTGCACTTAACTATTCATCAGATATGTGTCAGATGCCTACGGTGTGCTAGGCCCTGCTTTAAAGCTGAGAATACAGCCTCCTTGCAGTTGTGGATCTTACATTCTTAGGCATGTGCCAGTCACAAAATAAGTGCAGGACCAAGGAATGATACGGGTGATGGAGGGAATAAAGCAGGGTAAAGGAAGGGGTATATGATGACTGGGGTGCAGCTTAGATTCGTGGTCAAGGAAGCCTCTGAGGAGGAGCCGGTGGACAGAGAACCAGGTGAAGTGAGGGAGTGAGTCATTTTGAAAACAGAAGAGCGGTAATAAGGTCTGCAGAGTCTTAGTAAATTGCAGCGGCATTTTAAAAAACAAATGAGGCAGGACTTACATTTGCAAATCTCATTAGCTTTCAAAGTCCAGAAAAACATTTACAAATACATAAATGTCTAAATATAATAAAGTGGGAGTTACACTAGTCATTCTGTTTTGCAGCCTTGTTTTTTACTTAGTAAATTACAAGCATCTCTCTATGTCAGATAAAATCTGAATTTGTTTTTGGGCAGATAGTCAATTTATTTAGCTCTGTTTTTATTAACTCTTGGGTTCCTGATACAGTTGAATTTTAATATGTTTTCAGCCATGTGCCGCTTAACTCAGGGATACGTTCTGAGAAATGCGTCATGTGACGCCATGATAGAGCCCACTTACACAGACCTAAACGGAAGAGCCTGCGGCGCCGCTAGCCTAAGCGGTGTCGCCTGTTGCTCTGTAGGAGAGGAAAAATAATTTTACCTCTGTTCTTAGTTCTTGGCTGAGATATCCCTGTAATAAAAGACCGATTAACAGAAAAACAAACAAAGGTTTAAGAACATTTATACCTCCTGTGTACATGGGAGAGACCCAGGAACACTGAGGACTTGGCCAGAATGGTGGAAGCCACCAGCTTCAATACCACCTCCAGTGGAAGACAGAAGGTGTTGGGGCTGCAAGGAGTCAGGTGGGGGAGGTGAGCAGGAGAAGCACAGTAAATGGGGGGAAGGTCGTTATGCAGAACAGCTGGTAGTGTTTGCACTGGTAAGAGTTTCTAGAGATGGGGTCATCTCTTTTTCTTGGTACAGCAAGGGAGACACCCTTACCAATGGCGGTTTCCCTTGTAAATGTAAATGAGTTTTATAAACGCTAAATTCTAATACTTGGTTTTTGGAGCTTCTCCCATGTCTGCTCTTTCTTAAAATTAATTAGCTTAAAATAATCCTTATGCCAAATAGACATATTTTGGGGTGACACATTCTGTTCCCTTACAGCTCCTAGGTTGCAAACTTGTAGAGCATGTCACCAAACACTGTAGGCAGTAAGTGTGTAATGGGTTGCATTACAGCATTATGATGGCTGAGACGTTGTGATGGCCACAGTATCACTAGCTGATAGGAATTTCCAGCTCTGTTGTAATCTTACAGGATCACAGACGTGTATGTGGTCTGTCACTGACTGAAATGTCCATGCGACACGTGAATGTACTGATATGCCTTATTGCATGATTTTCTATTCCCAGGGATAATATTAACACTAGCATGTATTTATCGAGTACTGACGTTCTATGTACTGGACTAGAATCTTTATATATGTTACAACAGCCTTTGGTGTATGTGTAGTAGGTGCATTATACACGTGAGAGAACTGTCAGAGGTTGAGGAGTAACCTGTCCATGCTTGTCCAGCGGCCAGAAAGAAAGAGGCAGTTTGAGTTTGTTTGGGTTGATGGTCATTATTCCTGTTCCTTGTAGTACTCGATGCTGCCTTTATATCTTGTCTGTATATTTGGATGTAGATTTTTGAGTGATTTTTCTCATAAAACTTAAACGGCTAACTGTGGGATTAAAGAAGAGTCACACATGAGATCTTTTCCTCATTCTGCTCATTGTAGAAAAAGGAAGAAAAGCACCCCGAGGTATTCGTGAACTTCATGGAGCCCTGCTACGGCAGCTGCACGGAGAGGCAGCACCATTACTTCCTCAGTTACATTGAAGAATGGTGAGCCGAGAGCCAGGAAGGCGGTTTCTGCCCCCACTGTCAGGCCACACCTGAGTCCTTGTTCTGATTTGAAATTTTTTCTGTAAGAGAGGGAAGGAGAGACGTGAGATGCTATGAATGTATTTTTAGCTGATGCTAAATAATGCCTTTCTGACGCCTGTTTCCCCAGTCTTGAATTATTTAGCTCAAATACGTGCTAATCTTAAAAAGCCTCTTTTCTTAGTAACCCCAGTGACGACTTAGGATGTTTAAGGAAAATACTGAAAGTTGCCCTGTGAGAGCAGCTCCCTTTGAAAGATAGATCACTTGAAGCAGAGCTTCTGTTCTCTAACTAGATTATTCTGTGTTCAGGGTGGTGTGTTTATTGGGAATTCCGACTTGATTCTGTTGTGTGACTCATTTGTCTGAAGTTGGTAGGCAGCTGGCTGAGTCTCCAGGGGTTTATCCTGTTAAAGACTTAAATTTTACATCACCTTTCTTCAACCATAGAGCTCACCTTACCTTCCTCCTTGACATCTCAGGGAAGTCCTCAGAGAAGTTACTGCAGACTCAAGTTAGAGCTGTTGCTGTGTTTGAATTTAATGGTCTTCGGTTTTCTTCTTTGAAGGGATTTAGTGCTGGCAGCATCTGCAGCCTCAACAGAAGTTAGCATCCTTGCCCGGCAAAGCGATCAGGTAAATGCCTCTTTTTTGTCACTTATATGTGATTCTTTTCTGAGAGAGATTTTGGAGGGAGTTAACTGTGTGGTCAAGATTTAGATGAGGTCACATCCCTTTTCATGAGTTCCTGGAGGAGAGCACAGCTTAAATGACAAAGTGCCTTGGACCAGATGGCTCGGTTATTGCCGGGGACATACATGGGTGTCAGAATTCGCAGTTCTTCAGTGTCCTAAAAAGAAAGCCCTTCTGTTCTCTTAGGATCCGTCCACAGTCTGTAGGTCAAACATACTATGTCATCAACCTCCAGCAGGAGTATACCTCTTGTGTAGGAGGTTTTTCCTGCCTTGTTCTGTCGTAACCATCTGTATTTTCTTCCTATGACTTGACGCTGCCCCTTCTCTTCCGTTACCTGTAACCCATCCTTGATCATGGAAGAGAAACATGAAAGTCACACCAAATTGTGACTCACCAGAAACACTTTGTTTTACTTTGAAAACCACCAGAAAGCTGGAAATGCCTGTGCATAGAAGGACCCACCTTCCTTCCTTCACTTTGTCCTCCTCGAGGGCAGGGGCGGGCTGAGGCAGTCCTAAGCCATCCCGAGCAGTGGTACATTATGCAGAGTGACTTCAGAGGAGATGTGCTAAAAGGGAAACTTTTCTTTTTAAAACTCCGCCTTGAGTTTAAAATTGTTTTATGTACCCTGTACACACACGCTCATGCCTCTTCACGCGTTCAGCATTTGTCCGTCGTTCTCTGGGTGGCAGGGTGGCTCACCGTGAGTGTGTGTCCCCATAGTGTGCAGGGTGGGCCACTCCGAGGTCATGACCAGAGGACAGCAGTCTGGTTTGCTTCTCTTGGATTGACTACAGTAACTATTTCCTAATAGCACAAATATTTTACGTATTCACACATTAAAAATACACTTTTTTCTTTGCTTTTTATCAAAGTAATTTATGTATCTTTGCTTTTTATCAAAGTAATTTATGTACATGGTTAAAAATTAAAGTAGTAGAGATGGGCTTATAAATTAAAAAACCACCCCTGCCCCACCCTGTCCTGATCCAGTTTTGTTCACTAGAGGGGACCATTTTTAACTTGTACATTTTTCGTTCTAATGCTCACCTCCTTATCCCAGCCTTCACATGGGTCCTTCATTATTTTAGATCTTATTGGCTGTTAATGACAGATGAGGATTTAGCTCACATGTTACCTGCAAATCCCCCCTTCTTCCTCTCAGGATTATAGCACTATTTTAGTTTCTTCTCTTGGTTACCTCTGTAACTTTCATATTTTTTACCTTCATTTCTGATCGTTTCACCACATACTATACCCTTGACCTTCCACTTTGAGAGGAGTATCTCAGCACCCTCACCCTTGCCTTTAGCCCTCCCCTCCCGACCCCACCTTCTAGCTGCTGTCGTCTGTGTCTTGTCTTTCAAAATACCAAAACTGATACTGTTTGCATTCTGTTCCATGATGATTAAGTCTTCTTTATTTTGTCTGTGGTTGTTTTGTTTACATTATTATGAATGTGACTGTTATTCGCTCCATAGCTAAGTCATGGAGTATGATTATGTCCCCTTTCCTGAACAGCTTTTTGTTTTTCTCTGTTACTCATTGAACACTATTCTCCTTTGATTCATGCTGCCCCGTTTGGGTCAACCCTGAAAGTTAGACAAAATGTTAGTGATTTTTAAAAATCGGGAATCATTTATTGGAAGGACCAGAGCCCACTCAGCAAACTCAAGCAAAAGGGCGTTTATTGGAAAGACTTAGTGGTTTCTCACGGAATCCAGAAGCAGGAGGATGGACCTATGTGGGGAGCTCACAGATGAGGTCTCACAGGTGAGACGAGAACTGGGGAGACAAGAGCGGAGTCACCTTGTGTCTGTGGACCCGGGAGCACATCCAGCCAGCTTTCCAGGCTTCTCTGCCCAAGTCCATAGTGGACGTAACCGGGGGTCCTGGTCCCAACCGCGGACTCCTGGGAGCAGTATGGCTGGCGTAGTGCAGCTGCTGGGTTTGCCTGCCGTGTTCGAGATTCTACCTCGTTGTGGCGGCTGGTAGATCATATTTATTCATAAGGCAGGGACTTGGAGCACCAGGAACAGATTTTCCAAATCAGCCCCTTGCTTGATGGCATACTCATGGCTTTTACACCATCTTCCCAGATTTCAGAGTCTGCCCACACATAAATCATAGAGCTAAGCCAAGTGAGTTGTCTTCTTAATATTTGAACAGTGCTGGGAAGAGCCAGCGCCAAGCTCAGACTAACATGGCATTTTTTTCTGCTACTTCTTTTTTCCAGATTAATTGGGAATCTTGGCTCCTGGAGGATTCGAGTCGCGCTGAACTGCCTGTGACAGACAAGAATGATGACTCCTTGCCTGTGGGAGTTGCCATTGATTATACTAACCAAGTGGAAATTGCCATCAGTAAGTGTAGCCTGAAGGCGCTTAGTGCACAAGTAGTCTTCTTTCTGATACTGGTGAATCCCACTCTACAAGTTCACGGCAGAATCCACTCTGCTGAGCACTTTTAACTTCTGGTGGCATATTTCCACTTGAAGAGTGATGTGGAGTACATTGTGACAACACTAAACTAATTGGAATGGACACGTATTGATGAAACCAAGGCCGGATGGACTCCGTGTCTGTGTGTATCTGTATACGTTAGAATATGGTTGAAATCTAGGACATGGGCATTTCACAGTTTTGTTTCTTGGCCCTTTCCCGCTCTCCAATGACGAAGGGAAGAGCACCCTAGGCCTGTACTCCATATCAGTCAGGGGTTAGAAAATGGAGGCCTCAGCACATGGCGTCTACCCTGGGCCTGAGTGTACCTTCTCTCCAGCTGGAGCTTGGCAGAGCCGCTGTCCCCTGAAATGTGCAAGTGTAACGGAAGACACAGTTTTTGCCCCTTGGTGCTTCAATTAGTCAGCTGTTTGTCACAGGCACCATCGTGTTCCTTGTCCTTTCCCTGGTCAGGTTATTTGGTCCGATTAGTTCATTTACCCTGATTCTCTTGAAGTCTTATTTGACAAAATCCATGCTTGATTCAACTGTGAGTGAATGTAAAGTGGTTTGGCTCACCTTTCTGTGTCCTGCTGTGTTTTCCAAAGAGTCTAGCCTGTCAGCTTTCTACTGATAGAGACAGACTCCTGTCTGGGTCGGGGGTGCTGGACCTACCTCCCGAGACACTCATCGGTCAGTCGGTCGGCCTGATCATGGTGGGAGCTCTTTAAAGAGCTGTTGCAAGAGAGGCTGTTCAGATCTGATCAGAACGGACCGCCCCGGGCTGTGGGATGCGTCCGGGCAGCCCCTTCCGGCCCAGGCCCGTCAGTTGACCTGGCTCTTTCTTCACTTTTGTTTTCTAACAGGTGATGAGAAGACTCTTCCTCCTGCTCCAGTTCTTATGTTACTTTCAACAGATGGTGTGCTTTGTCCTTTTTATATGATCAATCAAAATCCCGGGGTCAGGTCCCTCATGAAGACACCAGAACGACTCTCATTAGAAGGAGAGCGACAACCCAAGTCACCAGGTACGGTCCCTCCCCTTTTCGGCAGAAAGGGCCTGCGTGGACTTGCACGGGGCCATTCCCAAGAACGAGAGCGTGTGACCGTGCACAGTGGTTATCTGTAGGGATGGTCCACCTTAGTGAGTCAGGGACTAACCTTCCCTTGAAGACACATGTACACACGGCCTCCCCTCACCCACAAGCTTTGTTCTCCGACCTCTAGAGGAAAAGGAAGCTCAGCCTGGTGGGTCCCCTCAGGTAATTTACCAACAATATCCTATTGTAAGACCCTGTGTTACATGGTCTGAATCCTAAAGACATGTTTAATCCTGAGGGACTGGTTAAACAAATGATTGTGCATTCATACTGTAAATGCCACCTACCTATTAAAAATGTTAGATATATTGACAAGGAAAGAGTTAATGGAATATATCATGAAAAAGCGCTATATATATCATGATTTATGAGAAAAGTACATGCAGAGAAAACATAACTTGAAAGATGGATTTTACCATCTAAGTAGTGCTTATTTCTGGGTGGTGAGGACATGGGGATTTGCTTTTGCTTATCTATATTTAATTTTCTTCAGGTTTGTTTTCTCCTCATCTTTGAAAATATTACTTAAGCAATGTATGTTTATTGGAGAAAAATTAGAAAAGGCAAAAACAAGATCATTAAGGGCCCATCTTCAAGCAGCAGCCACAGCCAGCGTTTTGGTGCCTATGTTCATGTGTGTAAATGGACACATACAAATGCTAACCTGTGTTTTCAGAGTTTTCAGTGCCCTTGTATCACTTCTGAGAACAAAATATAAAACTTTCTAAAGGGGCATTATTTCATATTTTTAAATTTCACTAATGTTTCTCTTCTTGAATTCTGGCAATATATAACTGTTAAGAATTTCTTTTCTAGTATGGCTACTACAAATGCTTATAGTGTAACCAGTTCCCTAAGAAAAAACATGTTGCCCTATTTGGTTGGATGAGGTTGAACGGCACCCAGTGTTTTCTCGCTGCTTCCTAGTGCAGAGTGAGTGGTGCGCCGTCAGTGAGGCCGCTGCTTGGGCTCCTATCAGCTGGCACTGCGGCCCCGAGTAATCAGCCAGGTGGCTTGCAGAGACTGTGTCCGTGTTGTCATGTTGGAATACCTCTGTCTGCAGTGTGTGTACTCCAAGTTGTTTGTTTTTTCCTTAAGTGGTCATGGTACCATAAGCTACCCACACCCGCTTGCCTGGTCTGCCCGTAACAAGCAGTGTATCCTGTGACGTCGGGAGCCCGTGGGATGACGTTTGTTTCTGAGCACAGTCCATCCTGAAGGACTTTGCTACTAGCACATTAAACCCCTGAGCACAAGCAGAGGCCAGTTTACTGTTCGCCTGTCCTAGAGAAACGCCCACTCCCTTTGCCCTTGGCCCGGAGGTAACAGCCATGTTCAGATGAGTGGAAGAGAGCCATGAAAGGGCAGACAGTGTCCCGCCAGCTCTCGCTAAAGCCCAGTGGTGGGTTCAGAAGACATTAATGGTTCCTTTTCCCAGGAGGCCGGGTTGAATGGTCAGAGGTAGCAGTGTTGTGGTTTTCAAATGTGCAGTTCCGTTTTCAGTGGGAAAAGCACCTAGGGTTTCTTTTGGGCCTGGCAGGTACTCTTCACGTTGGCCTACCCGATGTGCATGGAGGTGATGAACATTTGTGTGTATGTCTGTGAAAAGGGAACTGTTGCTGGCTCCGTATTTATTGTGCAAAAGAAGTATTAACAGAATAGATTTGCTCGCATTCTTACATTTTTATAAAAGGGACAATTCGGAAAGCAGTGTTTTCAGACTTGTATCCGAAGTATTTTCATTGCTTTAGACGTAGTGAGGTAAACTCATCTCAAGACAGTTTAGAAGGACCAAGACCCATTAATATAAATGTATTGGTAAAAATACTGCTTTCTTAGTTAGTTATTTAACTTAAAGAAGCAACATGTTTATAGAAAGTTTGGAAAATAGAAAAAAAGTTAAACCTGCCTTTTGGGGTTTTCTCTCCAAAGTTTTTTCATAAACATCTTTCTTCATAGTTATATTCCTGTTGTGTATATCATTGGTATGCAGGTTTATAATTCAAATTGTAAGCATTTTCCATATTCTTAGATAATCTTCATGATTCATTTAAAAGAATGACTGCTTAATAGTCCATTGGATATTTACCATTTGGGTTGTATTAAATGTCTTTCTTTTTTTTAAAGTCATTTTTATAAGCTTTATTCTTAGAAGTGGGATTACTGGGTCCATTTCTTATGATATTTGGAGACATAATGCTAAATTATTTTCTAAAAGACTGTGCTAAATTAGGTACCGGCTAGTGATAAAAGGTTTCAGGTTCATTTTACCTTTCCAAATATAAAGGGATTATGAATATTTAAATTTTGATAATTTAGAGGGCAAAAATATGTGTCAAATAAATTGACATTTCTTCTGTTAGAGTGAATATATTTTCTTCGTGTAAATTAGGCTCCCAGCTTATATCTATTAGTCTTGAAATTTTTATCTCGATTTGTTTGAGATTTTTAAAAAATATAAAACATTGTCATTTGCTGCAGAATTTTTTAGTTCATTTACCTTTTAGTTATGTAACTTTTTTATATAGTCAAATCTTAATCTTTTGTGATTTTTTTTTTTTTGGTCACTTCTAAATTTATTAAGTTGTTAGAGTCTCAGAGACTTAACTCACTTTTGCCTCATTTGTTTTGAGATTTAGTATATATGTGCTTTTGTACATATATATATATATATCTTTAATTCATCTGAAATTGCTTTTAGTGACTATTACGAAGTAGAGGTCTGAATTAAAATTTTTTCCTTGTTGTTGCAGAACGACCTATGTTTCACTGCAACCTTGAGAAGTGTATTTTTCCTATATTGTCCAACTGGGTGCCCATGAAGTCCCGTTCGTCTGCCCAGTGTCTTTCCCCATTGCCTGCTTCCTTCCACGGTTCACACATCTCATCCTGTGGAGCGTTCGCTGTGGAAAGTGCAGCATCAACTCCGTTTCCGTTTTCTTTCTCCTTCATGAACGAGGACCGTTGTTTCGGCTTCGTTCTGCCAACGCCCTTTGCCACTTGCTGTCTGTCATGTGGACCTCTGCAGTTAGAGTGTTAAGTCCTCCCTTCCCTTGTTCTCCATTCTTCTCGTTGCAGGAAGTACTCCCACCACCCCAACCTCTCAAGCCCTGCAGAAACTCGATGCTTCGGCCGCCGCAGCGCCCGTCTCCGTTCCACCTTCGCTGCCAGCTGCTCCCGCCTCCATCTTCTCTTTGCCTTCTGTCGTTGGGACCCCCACCGTGTTCTCCTTCGGTTCTGCATCCTTGAAATCATCTGGCTCTGTCCCTGGGGAGCCCCCCCCTTATTCCGGCGGCTCCGACATGTCCAAAGCAGCTCTGGGCTCTGGCGCACCCGCCTTCTCGTTTGCTCCTCCCTCGCAAGCCCCCCCAGCGCCCACCCCTGCGGCCTCTCCCATGGCACCACCAGCTGCCTCGTTTTCCTTTGCCTCATCGGGTTTTAAACCTGCCTTGGAAAGCACACCGATGCCAAGTGTGTCCGCTCCAAACATCGGAATGAAACCCTCCTTCCCACCCTTAGCCTCCACAGTTAAGGTCAACCTTAGTGAAAAGTAAGTGACACTTCAAGTTTGACTCTTCTGTCGGGTGGGTAGAAGTAGCGCAGGTATTCACTGCGAACGCCACTGTGAGTGGAGTTCCTGAGGAGGTTTTCTGGTTTTTCCCTTTTTCCCAGAGTACACTAGCAAATGGTAAAAATTCAAATAACGTAAAAGATTTGCATTTCATCAGTGGACAACGTCCAGAACGGTCACTTAGAAATTTTTTTTTGACTATTAGAGGTTAATATTTGAATACTTATTTTGCTTTTTCAGATTTCAAATGTAGGACATAGTTCTTATGTTTAAAAATGCAGCGCTACGGAGTATATGTCAGTCCTGTAAGGAAGTGACTCTCTCGTAGCTCTTTTCCACCTTTTGTCCACCCGGACTCCGTTTTCTGCAGGGCCACCGATGTGAGCTGGGGAAAGTGTGGCTGCATCCGCCGCCTCTCCTGCTTGGCAGTCCCCGGGGGCCCTCATTGCTCTTCCAGTCCACACTCCTTAGCTTGGTACCCCAGTTTCCCCCAGACCTGGGGCCACCAGCCCACTCACCCCTTCCTCTTCTCTTCTTCATCTGCTTGTTTCCTTCCCGCTAGGATGGAAGCTTCTTGAGGGAAGTGAGTCCTTATACCTTGTCACCCTTCCCAAGGCAACCACTGAGTGTAAACACTGCCAGTGTCCCCCCCCACTCATCTGTACCATCTCTTGTTGCCATAGAGATGGTACTACTGTTGTCACCGCTGCCGCCATTGTCATTGTCCGTATTGTCACACATCCAGTTCATTCTAATAGCCGCCTAGTGTTCCTTTTTGTGTTGGCATTATAATTTCTTTTCCCTGTCATCTAAGGCTGGATATTTAGATTGTTTATAGATGTTTGTTCTTTAGGGGAAACTTACCGCACATTCCCCATAGACGAAACATCCCGGAGATGGCCACCTGCTCTTCCTTTTTCACTCCGCAGAAGAAGCCATCACCCCCAAACGAACTACCGGGCATTTCCTTGGCAACAAGAGGGTACTAAACGCTCCTAAGTATAGTGAGCCCCGCCCTCTTTTGTTTTACTTGGCATGATAGAATAGAAAATAAATATTTCATATCATGATAAACTTAGTTTCATTTTCATGTTAAGTACTTATTTGGTATTTTCATTAATCCTAAATAAGCAGAAGAGAAGTTTTCTTGCAGCTTTCCCCTTTGATAAGAAATAGCTACCCATTTACATTTCTCAAAGGCTACACACTGTAGATAGTAAGTTACCCTTTGATGACGCTGCTCGTGACCAGCACGAAAGCATCTCACAGCAGGCTGTTCTGATGCACTCGGGTGCTGTTTTCAGGTTTACTGCCATGGCTGCCTCTGCTCCTGGTAACAGCCCACAGAGCGTGCCCTCCATGCTGCCGTTCTCTTCTGCCTCCAAGCCAGCTTCGGGACCGCTCAGCCACCCCACACCCCTCTCCACGCCATCCAGTTCCATGTCATCAAAGTCCGCAGTCTCTCCCTCGGCACCAGGTACGATTTTCAGCAAACTGCTCGAGAGCTCAGATGAACGTTTTCCAGTTGTTGAGAATCCTGGCTGCACAGTGGGACTAGAGGAGATTTTCCTGCTTCCTGTATCTCATGCTAACATGCTGTGGGTCCATACTTGGCGCTGGGAGAACTTGCAATGGACCTGTGTGAAGGGCAGTTACAGAATAATTCTATAAGCTGCGAAGAAAAGAAAGCACCTGCGGTGGCTGTTAACCTCATTGCCTCTGATGGCCCTTTGGGTTTTCACACTCAGCTCTACTCTAAGCAGGTTTATTAAGTAAAGACCATAAATGGAGACAAGCGTTATAGCCACGTTGAATTTATTAGAGCCAGGTTGCATTACGGAGCCTCCAGGAGCAAATGTACCTAGCCTATCCCTTCTCTTCTATCAAACCTGCAGAAAGGTTACAAAAACTGTATAATGAATACTGTACCTTCCACCCCAATTTAACACTTGCTAACATTTCACACCATTTGCTTTGTCTCTTTTTATCTACATGCTTTTCTAAAACATTTGAAAGTTAATTGCAGACACCGTGAAACACTTCGCCCTTAAATACTTCAGTGTATCTCTCCAAAAACCAAGGTCACACAGTACATTGTCACACGCAAGAAATTTTTAAAAATCTACCACCCGTATTCACATTTCCACAGTTGTCCTAATAATGTTTTTTATGGCTCACGCACCCCCCCCCCACACCCCCCCAAAAGCCAGGAACCAATCAGGGATCACCTTTTGTTCTGATTTGGTCTCATTAGCCTCTGTCTCACACAGTTCTTCACCTTTTTGGTCTTTCACAGAATTGACTCTTGTGAAGAGGTCAGGCCAGTAGTTTTGTGGACTGTCCCTCAGTTTGGATTTGTTTCCACATGATGAGATTCAGCTTAAACGCTTCGAGCAGTAATACTGAATGGATGATGTGCATCACATTACCTGATTCCATTTGTCCTCACATAAGTGATGTTAATTTGGTCATTTGGTTAAGATGGGGTTTGCCAGATCTGTCTCAGTTTTTAATTTGGTTATTTGCATGAATGCCAGTGGTAATACCCAGCCAGACATATTTAGGTTACCATTTGGTGTTGGAGTGTCGGGGATAATTTTATTTTGGTAAGTACTGAGCAGGCACTGAGCTGTGAAATCCCTGAAATCGTCTCTCCTTACCTGTTGCTGGGCAGAAAGGGCTGCTTTGTGGAGTTGTCAGAGTCACCTCATGGCAGGACTTTTCATTAGATTCTGAAAGATGGCTGTGTAAGACCAAAAAGTTAAGAAGCCTTGCCCTAGTCTTTTCACATCTCATTAATGGTTTGGGAGAGAAAACTTGAATCTTAATGCATATTGACTCTCTCCCTTTCTGTTGCTCACCACCCAGATCTCCCGCCACACACCCATTACCATTAATTCTTAAAGTTTGGAGGGTCCTAAGTTATTTGCTCTCAGTCCCAGTTGCACTAGACTCGCCGGGGGATCCCTTTCCTGATGGTTTAATCAGGCTCTCTGGGGGTGAGTCTTGGGTGTGGGTTTTTATTTGTTTTAAAAGCTCCCTAGGTGATTCAAAGGCGCATAGGGTGAGACTTGTGTTAGGGCTTCAAGGAGGGTCTGAAAACCTTGCGAGTCCTCACAAACATTGCCCCCAGTTCCTAGAGGTACATCAGGAGCCTCTGGGGGGAGTGAGGATGGGCCGAATGGCCGGCCTCCTGGGCCTGCCCGCAAAGCATTTACCTATTACCAGAGTCACTCTAGTTATACCTGTTTTATAAATGGGTTTCACATCACATCTCGAAGTGTAAGTTTTCTAGTTATTTTGGAACAGAGGCTAACACAACTGCAAACATCATTCTTGCTAACAAAGATCATAAAAGGTGTCCAGGGACAATGGGAAACTTGTTTTTTATTTGAGGAAAGAACGTTTGTGATGAGAGAAATCATGGAAGTTGGTGGCGTCTGTTTTAACTGACTTTTGGTTCTAGCAGGGCGATCCGCTCAGGGCGGTCTGAGTCCAGTGCCCTCAGCGGGGCAGAAATCGCCCAGGATCACCCCTCCAGTGGCAAAGGCGGGCTCTCCCCAGGTACGTTTGACCTCAGCGCACAGTGCTGTGCTTAGTCATTCACTGCCCCCAACAGAAATGTTTGTAAAATGGGTTTTCGTGTTTTGGAATTGACACTTTTGTAAAGTACTTAGGACTTGGTGTAGGAAATATATGACCTTTGAATATTTGTAATGTGTGCTCGTAAAGACCATTTATCTCAACTTCAGAGTCTGAATTGTTCTCTCTGCCGGTCCCTGAGCTTTTCCAGGCTATGTTGTGATTTTGTTTTATTCTCTTTATGGGTGAAAATACCGTAGCCCCTCAGTTCTTTCTCTTAATCCCAAAGGAAGCAGGAAATCTACCCCCTGCCCTGTTTCCTTACTGTCTCAATTTACTTGACTTATTTACCTTTTTATTGACATATAATACACATAAGGAAAAGAATACACGTACACCTCAGTGAATTGTCACCAGCGGAACACACCTTGGTAAGCAGCACTCAGACCAAGAAACAGAACGTTACCGGGACCCCAGAATTACCCCTCATGTGTTCCCTTCTAGTCACCACCCTTGCCGAAGGGGGCTCACTGTCGTGATTTCTAACAGCGTAGCTTAGCTCAGCCAGCTTGTGCCGTCTGTAAATGGCCTCACGTATGTAGCCTGGGACCTGGCGGTTTTGCTTACCTTATATTTTTGAGGTTTATTCAGATCTTATCGGTGACTATACTGCAAGTATTCATTCCATTCCTGGTGGGCGTTCGAGCAGTTTCCAGGGCTAAGTAAATGTGAGCAGTGCTGCTGTGACCATGCTGTTTATGTCTTGGGTGAGCATGTGTGCCGTTTCTGTTTGGCACATACCTAGGAGTGGAAAGGCCAGGTCACACAATATGCGTTTATTCCTTGTCAGTAAATTCCCACCAGGAGTGGATGAGAGTTCAGCTGCTCCCCATCCTCACAGCCTTGGTATTCTCATCTTTTATTGTGGTCGTATTTTGTGGTTTTAATTAGTATTTCTCTGATGAGCAGTAACACTGAGCTTTTTCCCCATATGATTGTGGACCACGTGAATATCTTTGATGGGGTGTCTATTCACGTCTTTTACCCATCTTCCTGTTGGGCTGTCTGTCTGTCTTACTTGTGAGAGTTAGTTCCTGTTGGATACATACGATATACATGTACACACATAAGGGAAACTCTTTCTCTGTGAATTACCCTTTCCTTTTTTTAAATGTTTATCATTTTTTAAAGCTTTTTTTTTTTTAAGATTTTATTGGGGAATTGGGGAAGGGGAACAGCCAAGTTGTTGTCCTTCCATCTTAGTTGTCCTTCAATCTCAATCTGAGCGCAGCTAGCTCAGCTCCAAGTCCAGTCGCCATCCGGCCGTCCAACGGCAGCTCACAGCTGCTCAGCTCAAGGTGTCATGATCAGTCTTAGTTGCGGGTGGGCAGAGCCCACCATCCCATGCGGGAGTTGAACCGGAAACCTTGTTGCTAAGCGCACACACTCTAACAACTGAGCCACCTGGCCGCCGGTCAGCAGCTCAGCGGCAGCTCAGCTCGGGTGCAGCTCACTGGCCCATGTGGGAATCGAACCGGTGACCCTGTTGCTCAGAGCTCGTGCTCTTAACCAACTGAGCCACTCGGCCGGCCCTGCCCTTTTTCATTTCATGGTTCCTTTTCATGACTGCAGGTTCTTAATTTTAATATAGTTCAATATATCAGTTTTTCTTTTATGATTAGTACTTTTTGTGTTCTCTTTTAGAAATCGTTTTTTATTCCAAGGTCAAAAAAGGTATTTTACTGTTTTTCTAAAAGCATTATTATTTTACTTTTCATATTTAGAGCTGCAATCTCTCACTTCAGTTTATTTTTATGGTTTAACTTAAAGAGAACTTTATGTCAGTTTCCCACTTGACTATTTGAGTCTCCTCAGAATAGGAGTCGTGTCTTTTCCTTCTGTCTCTCCTCCAACCACCCCCTCCTGCTCCCAGCACAGAGAATGGGGCACACGGCAAGCGCTGAGTTTACAGGTCTGGCTTTGGGCATAATGCATGATACGTGGTGTTTGTTAAATAAATGTTTGCTGTTTTAATGAATGCCACGCAGTCTAAAATCTCTATTAATTGCCATAGGTATCAAGTAATCTAAAAGCCATCTCAAGTTATATTTCTAAAGCAGAATTCTTGATTTTTGTCTACCCCAGAACCTGCTCCTGTCCTAGTGTTCCCATCTTAGCAAGTAGCACTAACTAGGTTGTTTGCTCAAGCCGCAAACCCAGAAGCCCCTCCCCGCCATCCATATCATACATCGTGCCAGCTCCACTCTGTGCATGTGTGTCATCAATCCGCAGCTTTGTCTCCCCTGCGACCGTCCTATTCCAGGCCATTCTCTCTTCCCTGGTCAGCCTCCTGACGAGCCTCCCTACCTCTTACTGTCATCTGTGCTCTATTTAGCAGCAAGAGGGAGCTTTTGAAATCATAAATCAAAGAGTAGTTTAAACTCTCCTAAAACTCCACTGGTGGCTTCCCAGAACACTTAGACTAAAGTCAAGACCCCCTGGTGTTGCCTTACACGGCTGCCCCTGCCAGCCTCCAGCTCCCTCCCTGACCTCACCGTGGCCACCGTCACTTCCTCTCTGTGCTTCGAAGGTATCGAGGTCTCGTCTGCCTCAGATTCTTTGCAGTTGCTCGTCTCGCTGCCTGGAAGGGAATCCCTTCTATCTTTCTGTAGCTTCCTCCCTTACTTTAGGTCTCAGTTCGGAGGCAGTGCTCAGTGAGGGGTGTCTGGGCCATCTCATCTCAAGTAGAAAGTGCCCGTTTTAGCTCTTTATGTGTTTCTGGTTACGTTTTCCATATTGCTTATTACCAGCTGAAATTACCTGATTTGTTTACTTTGGATGATCTGTCTTATCCCAGTAGAAGTTAAGTTCCAGGTGAGTAGGACCTCATTTACCTTGTTTACCTCTCTTTCTGCTGTCTAAAAATGCTTTTATACCAAGCAGATACCCAGTAAATACGGGTTCAAAAGAATGAATGATGGAACAGCGACTGTACTATGAGAGTGACACTGCCTGTGATAGGCATTGAACCCACTGCTTCCAGAAACCAAAACTTGAGGTGTAGGCTGCAATTTTTAAACCTTTTGACTTCCATTTCAGGCAAAATCACTTCAGCCTCCTGTTCCAGAAAAGCAGGGATATCAGTGGAAGGACTCAGATCCTGTGATGGTTGGCATCGCGGAGGAGGTAAATTGGTTCCTGCAGATTCTTTTTTTTAAAGATTTTATTGGGGAATTGGAGAAGGGGAACATTGTGTTTTTCCAGAACCCATCAGCTATAAGTCAAGTTGTTGTCCTTCAATCTTAGTTGTGGAGGGCGCAAGCTCAGCCCAAATCCAGTTGCCGCTTTCAGTCTAGATGCAGGGGATGGGGTGGGGAGGGGGAGGTGCGCGCAGCCCACCATCCCATGCGGGAGTCGAACCGGCAACCTTGTTGTTAAGGGCACGTGCTCTCACCAGCTGAGCCATTCTGCTGCCGTTTGGCAGCTCAGCTCCGGCACAGCTCACTGGCCCATGTGGGAATTGAACCGGCGACCCTGTTGCTCAGAGCTCGCGCTCTTAACCATCTGCGCCACCCGGCCGGCCCACTTCCTGCAGATTTCTCCCAGAAGTAGTTCTGACAGTGGGACTTGAATGGCTCCCAGTGCAGACCCCTCTGTGACTCTCTTATTCTGGCCTTGAACCATGGCGTGTCCCAAGGGTCTGTGCTATTAGCGAGCCCAATAGCAGTGACATTACCGCCATGCCATTCACACTGAGTAGTCTCGTTGTGGTTTCTACAGATCGCACACTTTCAGAAGGAGCTGGAAGAGCTGAAAGCCCGAACTTCGAAGGCCTGTTTCCAAGTGGGCACCGCCGAGGAGATGAAGATGCTGCGGACAGAGTCTGATGATTTGCACACGTTTCTTTTGGAGATTAAAGAGACCACAGAGGTGTGTGTTTATTGACAGTCAGTCTTCCAAAGTCGAATAGCACCTTAACATGTTTTCTTCCAGCACTCTCTGGGCGGGTATGCTTCTTCTCTTCAAGAAGCCCCAGTGTTGTTTTTAATGTGGGTGAGAGGTTCATGTGGGAACGCCGAAGTGCAAACCCTGCCTTCAGCACTAAAATACAGTACGTTGCTTGGGCAAGTTAGTCTAGCTGCTCTGTGTGTAAGTTTTCTCGTGGGAAATGGAATATTAATAGTTTCTACCCCATTGACCCATACAAGGCACTCCATAAAAGTTTGTTATTATAATTGTTAGTTTAGGTATATTTGAAAATTAACTTTGTAAATTGTTAGGGTATAGTACAGTGTTAGGTTTTTTAAAAAGCAGAACACTTAAGAGCATCTATGTAATGTAAACATTTCAAATAGTTGTTAATAGTATCACTGTGTTACTGTTACTACTGCTTACTCTGTGCCAGGCTCTGTGCTAAAACTTCACCTGTAGCATCTCACTGAATCCTCAAACTGTCCTATGTGGTAGGTACTGTTACTCTTGCTGTTTGCAAGTCAGGAAACCGAGGCTCAGAGAGGTGGAATCGTGCCCAAAGCCGCTCAGTCACTGAGTGCCGGCTCCTGGACTCTAGTTCAGACTGTCTTGAGTCCAGAGCTCTGGTCTTAAACATCGTGCTTGAAAGGGGAAGGTTCTCCAGGGTGTCACTGATTGTCTTCAGGTAGTAGGATTATAGGTCCTATTAATACTTTTCCTGTTTTCTGAGTTTCTGATTACTAGAATATATGTCTTTTTAATGAGGAAGAAAACTAATTTCAAAAGTGAACATTGGTATCTTTTTAAGCAGTGAGATGCTTCTCTTGCGTGACTGTTAACGGTCCTCAGATGTTCATCACGTTAACTGTTTGAGAAGCACCACCTCCCTCCGTCCAGACTGAAAGGTTTCTTTCTTAGAAATACCACTTGTTGTATCAGTACGTCCTTATACCTTTTCTAGTCTCTTCATGGAGATATAAGTACCCTGAAAACAACTTTACTTGAGGGCTTTGCTGGTGTTGAAGAAGCCAGAGAACAAAACGAGAGAAACCGTGACTCTGGATACCTACATCTGCTCTATAAGAGACCGCTGGACCCCCGGAGTGAAGCCCAGCTCCAGGTAGGAGAGCCCCGCAGCGCGTGCTGCCCAGCAAAGCCCTCAGCCCCCTCCGCCCTGAGGGCGACTTGCTGAGCTTGGGTGACCGCCTGTATGAAGTTGTTAATTCCCTGTGAATAATTTACACACTTCACATAGACTTCCTTCAAAGAAAAGGGCAGTTTTTCCCATAATGTTTTTGGATTAAACAAAAATAGCATTCTTAATTAAACCTTAAGCTTGGTGGAAAGTACGCTGTTGAAAAAGATATATTTAGAAATCGAATTGTGAATAATTATTAAAGTAGCAACTCTCATTGAGCACCAGGTACTCTGCTCAATATTGTTTACACATTATTTCTAGTCTTCAGCCAACTGCTCTGCAAGATGAGTTGTTGGTCCCATTGTACAGATGAGGCAACTGAGGCTCATGGGCTAAGGAGCTTGCCCGGGTGATGTTGCTGGTAGGAGCGGAACCAATTAAACCCCCCACCTGCCTGGGTTCTTTCCTCCATGCCATAATTTAGCGAAGTTATTTTTCTCATTAATTATTCATTATTCTCTGCCTTCGTTAAATCTGGTTTTTGTTTTCATCTTTCAATTTTTTCAGAACTTTATATCACAAGCTTTGTACTTGTATCGCAAGCTTTTGCGGGGGTCGGGGGGTGTCATTTCCCACTTCCTTGCATTTGCCTAGAATCCCAGCAGAAAAGGGGCACAGCTGGCAGCACTGGCCTTCCTCACCCGGGATCTTTGAGTGATGGTCTTTGAGTAAGATGACCCTGGTCTCCTGCCCAGAAAATCCACCATTTCCATCCCACGCTGGATAAGCCTGCCTGCAGTAGGAAAACGAAAGAACTGGTTCCTCCTCCCAGAAGGCTTGAGAAAACCCTGCTGTGGTCCGCAGCCCTTGTGTCCCTAGCCACTTCCTCCCACTGGATGTGAACTGCCTTAGCAAGAGGTGCCACCCGCTTGCCCACCACTCATGAAATTACAGGCCTGCATCTGGTTACACGCACTTCATGCACGCCTTTTCACCTCTTGTTCTGGGTCCAAACTAAAAGAAAAGCATACAGCTTTTGGGAGACACTTTTCCCTGTTCAAAGGAAACCCATTTCTTTTTTCACAGTGCTAAGTAGATAGTAATAGCTAGCATTTATTGAGTGCATGCTATGTACAAAAGAAAGATACTGGGACTACATGAGTCTCACCACTAATAGATGCTGGACCCCAGAGCCTGGGGCAGCCTGACTCAGAGCCTGTGCTCTCAGCTGCTACGCTCCAGTGTGCAGTCCCCACACCTGGGTAAGTGGCAGAGGGAAAGATGGACATAAAAATACAGTATAGAGTAGGTTGCTGTGGGGTTGCAGACGAGGAAGCAGCTGAGCCACAGAAACTAAGTATTTGTGATGGCCTTAAAAGAAAAGTTGTTTTTTTCTGATAGAGTTGGGAGAGCATTCAGAAGAAACAGCATCAGTAATGCTCAGAGGTATGGATGCATTTGGAGTGTTCCAAGAAAGGGCCTTGCTGTAGTCAAGTGTTAGTTGAAATTTATTTTTGATGCTAAGGTTATTGCAACTTTCTGGAATCAGACTGGCTCTCTTTAAATGGCATTTTCTTTTTCAGTTGGGGCATATACCCTTATCCAAGAACAATTTTGAAAATGCATTTAAACACAATAAGATCTTTGTGCAGATGCAAAGAGCTTTTCCCAGTGTAAAACACATCTGTATTTGTATACACATTTAATGGAATGCTTTGTCTTTCTTTTTAATTTTCAAGAGCCAAGTGGTATAGCCACAAAGGTTAACACTGGATGAAAATTTAAAGGTTATTGCAGGCCTAAAATAAGTTCATAGATGAGAATTTTAATCATGGTAAATTCAATTTCTAGTGCTGATGTTTTTGAGAAGAAAAGAGTTTTTCTCAACTGGTGAGATGACTTATGTGTTCTATCTTATGAATAGATGCATTCAAAATTATTTTCAGTACTATTTTGTAGGATAATTTTGTCTGTAGTACAGTTAATTTCATGGGTGGGAGAGCAGAAACTAAATGGATGCCCTGTCGGGGTACCAGAGTGCAGTGGAAAATTCCTAGACCGTGTTGAGACACTTTAGAGGCGCCGAAAAATGAGAACTAAGCAAGAGCATTTGCTCCCTGGAGGCCCCAGGCGGACACGCCCATTCTGTTTCTGTTTTCTGTCACACACTCAGGAAAGTGGTTTCTGCTTTTCATTTTAATTATAACGCGTTAATGATTACATCAAAGCCTATTATGTTGTCTTTGTTCATTATGGTTCTCAATATGAAAGTCATTCAAAATCATTTTGACTGTTTTGATCCATCCGTTTTCAAGGTATTGGAAAACAGCCATGTGCCTTCTCATTTTTCTCTTATAGGAAATTCGGCGTCTTCATCAGTACGTGAAATTCGCTGTCCAAGACGTGAATGATGTTCTAGACTTGGAATGGGACCGGCACCTGGAGCAAAAGCGGAAACAAAAGTGAGCGAGCCTCCCCCGCAGCGCGGTGCGGCAGACGCTGCTGCCGCCTTTTTGAAAGATGACTTAGGGCCTTTTTAAATATCCTACACATGTTCGTTCTCGTTGACCCAGTCATTCTGCTTCTAGAAATTTGTTCTATAGAAATGAGTCATGTTCCCAACAGTTTACATAAAAGAATTTATATTGCAGCACAACTTATGATAGTGAGAAATTGGATCGAACCTGATTATCCAAAAGTTAGAGGAGTGTCTAAAAAAATCTGGTCGCTTTTTGTTAATATAGATAACTGTAGCCATTGACTAGCATTTCTCAAAAAAAGTCATATTAACTGTATTTCCTATGTTACATGGAATGTACAAGATATATATAATTATAACTACTAGATACAGTATTTAAAATATGAAAAAGGTAAGTCATAAAGTCACACGGGGTGATCTCCGTGGGGAGGTCTAAACATAGAAAAGAGGCTGGAACTCAGTCTGTCAAAATAGTCACAGATGTAGCTGTGAGATGGCGTTACAAGGAACTTTTTCCTTTACTGTTTTGTATATTCCAAATTTTCTTTTTGAGGAAACACATTCCTAATTAGTGTGGCTAATTAAAAGGATGAGAGGAATGATGACAACGGTACAGGAAAACCTTTTATCCTGGTCTTCGAGCCCTGGATATTTGGTTTTGTGCCGTATATTTTCTAGAAGGAATAGAGTGCAGTACATTATAAGAGCAGTAAAGCGCCCACAAGAAATGCGAAAAACAGATCAGCCCTCAAAATGCTCAGTTTCTGAAACCCCTACATTTGATTCATGTGGTTAGCCATGTAAGGAGACAAACCAAGAGATGATCTGTTCATTTTATTTGCTTACAATGCTGTGGGATCACAGAACTTTGCAGTGCAGCAGCCTGGGTGTGATGTCAGGGGCAAGGCCAGAATGTGCTTAAAAGTACAGAAAGCAGAATTGAATACCTTATGTTGTGCCACGTGGAGAAAGGCTTTGTGCCGACCTGCGGAATCCCAGCTTGGAGCATGGATAGGGGAAGGGAGAGGTGACATGAATCCCTCAGACACTGGCTGGGGAGGACTCTGCAGCCTGGGGCCTGGAGCACCTGTCCCCTTGGACAGCTGGGCCCCATTACACCTGTCACAGCTCACTCCCCTAGCTCTGAATTGTGTGAGAGATTTGCCTGACCCGACAGCCTGCACACTCTGCTCCTCTTGGCAGCTGGCTTTTATAAGCTCCCTTTCTGCTGAGTTGAGGTTTTTAAACATTTCGCCAGCACTTCTGTGCTTTAGGGCCTTCTCTAAGTATTACCTTGTACCCTATCGAAATGCGTTTTTAAAAATTTCTCTTGAACTACCTTGTCGCCAGTAAGAAAGGGAACCGTCCCTTTCTTGTTTTAGTTCGTTTGGGCGGGTTACTCCTGCCGTTAAACCGTGTGCTATTCCACTGTTCCCTGATGGCACTGTGAAGAGATTCCCATGGACTTGCAACGAACCCCTGGGCTCTTGTTTTTTTTTGTCAGTGTCATTTACACACAGACAATACACATACCCTAAGTATAGAACTGAGTGAATTTTCCCTCTGTTAGGAGTCCGTCCCTGCCCTTGCCTGCCCCGGAGCCTCTCTGCGCTTCTGCCTGATTATGCCTAAGGCCTGGCCTGCGTGATCCTAAGCAGCTCTTTCCTCATTGCATTTTGTTCTCATTAGGCTTTCGTCCCTTTTTTATGTTCTAGTAATTTCTCAGTGCTTTTTGTTCATTAGTGGTTCTCCATTTTATTCTTCTCACTGTTACAGTTGTAGTCTTTTTTTTCCTTCTGTGGGAGGTCCCTTAACTCAAACCACTCATGTTTGATCCTTTTCTCATTGCTGTCAACAGGCGCCTGCTTGTGCCAGAGCGAGAGACGCTGTTTAACACGCTAGCCAACAACCGGGAAATCATCAACCAACAGAGGAAGAGGCTGAATCACCTGGTGGACAGTCTCCAGCAGCTCCGTCTCTATAACCAAACTTCCCGGTGGAGCCTTCCCTCGGCCGTTCCCACCCAGAGCAGCAGTTACAGGTGTGCCGGAGAGCCGGCCTGTCCAAGCCGCTTGCACGCAATGAATATGGCTAAATGAGTGAATGAGTGAGTGAATGAATGTTTGGCAGGAAGGTGGAGTCATCTTAAAGTGGCTCAGGTGTGGCTTTCCCAGTAACTGCTGTCTGTCACCTGTGTGGTCCTGGTTAGGTTCCTCACCCTCTCTGATCCATCGTTCCTTTCCCTGAGGTTGGGGATCACAGTACCTGCCCCATGGGATTGTTGGAGAGTTTACTGAAGTCTAGAAAGCACCTCGCAGTATGCCCGATGGAGTGAGCAGGTGCTCAGGTGACGGCAGATACCATAGTGATAGTATTGTTGTTTTACTGAAAATTAACTGATAGGATTAGATTGACTGATTTGTCTCAAAGCTCAACATTTGTCATTCTGCTTGAGTGGAAACTGTCAGACCCTCGCAAGTAGACAGTTGATAACTGAAGTTCCCAAGGTGGTTTTGTGTTCCTAACTTTCAGCTGCTTGTGTAGGTTTTAATGGCCCCTTCTGCCTTTCGCCATCAGTGCTGTTTGCCGCGGGGGTGGTATATAACACAGACTGCGATCTCTTTCGGGTTGATTATACCAGTTGGTCAGATTTCCCGTTCCTGTACTGCGGATGCCTCATCTCTTGCATTTATATTTGGGATAGTGTACCCCCCCACCCCGCCCCCTAGGATTTCTCTGATCAGAGTTGGTTTGTATGTAACTCTATCCTAATTCAGCTTCGACAGTGACCTCGAAAGCCTGCGTGATGCTTTGTTGAAAACCACCATAGACTCTCACACTAACCCGTTGTCCAGAGTACCAGGTAAATGCATCTTTCCCAGCCTCGAACCCTGTTTGCTTTCATCTACTGACTGAGTCCTAAGCATTTAATGAGGTCCTGAATTTCTTGCAGCTAAACTGTCCCCTGTGAAACAGGCCCAGCTGAGAAACTTCTTGGCTAAGAGGAAGACCCCACCAGTGAGATCCACTGCTCCAGGTAAAGGGAACGGGGTCCTGCATTTTTAGCATAAACCATACAGTGCGTGGTGTGGGAGTAGAGGGGGTGTGTGTGTCTGTGTTTCCTTCAGAGGGTAGAGAGAACGTCCCCGGAATCTGTCCATGTGAAAGTTGGAGTAGGAAGCTGCTTGTATACATTCGACCAAGCAGCTCAGGTGGTGGTTTCGGCTTTTGCACATTTTCTGCAGACCTCAGGTTATGTGGCAGTTGTTCCCAGGGATCTGGGGAGGCTGAGCTGGCTCCTGGCACCAGAGCCTCAGCTTCAAAGCTTTGTTTTTACTGATTTGTGTGGGGTTTTGAGAAAGATTGTATTTGAAAAAAGGCTTCTTAAGAAGGAAGTAGAAAACCCACTGATTAGAGAATGATAGCTAAAAAACACTTGCTGAAAAGAAGGCATAAAACTGATGGGAAAAAAATTTTTTGCTATTAAAATATCTAGATAACTACCTCAATTTTCTTTTTTAAAATATATGTTATATACAGCTTCAGGTATAACTAAGCTTTGTTTTAGTGCCTATATCTGCTTTTTTCTTTGAAATCCTGTTTTGAGTTGAAAATTTTTTTTCTTTTATCCCAACAACAGATGCTTTTTGGTAATTAAAATTGCAGAAGGAAATTTAGTTTAATCTTGCTGTACCATGATTTGATTAATTTTTCTGTAATATAAAACTAAATTAGGGAAGTAATGGTCACAGACAAATGAACTTTATAATAACCATTTTACTTATCTAAAGAATACATTCTCTTGGTAGATAATTGGAAAAATATGGAAAAGTATAAAGAATAATAAAAATTACTCTTATCCTTCAACCCAGATATGTCATCAATTATGTCATTTCGGCCTACTCCTAAACTTTTTTCTTTGCATATGTAAATTTGATTTTTTGAAAATGAGGTTGGGACTATTACATTTATAATTTTGTGTCCTGATTTTTTTTTTAATTAGAAACTTCCAAGCCCTTACTACAAAACAGAAAATGACAAGTGTTGGCAGGGATGTGGACCAATTGGAATTCTTGTGCACTGTTAGTAGGAATGTAAAATGGTGCTGTACTGGGGAAAACAGTTTGATGGTTCCTGAAAACATTAAAACTAGAATTACTATATGACCCAGCAATCTACTTGTGGGTGTGTACCCCAAAGAATTGAAAGCCAGGACTCTGATATTTTGTACACATGTTCATGGCAGCAGCATTCACAATAGCTGAAAGATAAAAGCAAGCCAAAGGTCCATCAACAGATGAATAGATAAGCCAAATGGGGTGCATACATACCTTAAAAAGCAAGAAAATCCTGACACATGCTACGCTATGCATAAACCTTGAGGACATTATGTTGAGGAAGCAAGCCAGTCACAGAAGGACACACACTGTGTGAGTGGACTTACCTGAGGTCCCTAGAGTAGTCATCAGAGACAGAAAGTAGAATGGTGGGTGCCAGGGGCTGCAGGGGAGAGCAAAGGGGGAGTCAGTGTTTCATGGTACAGAGGTTTAGTTTTACAAGAGGAAAAGAATTCTGGAAGTGGATGGTGGTGATGGCTGCACAGCAGTGTGAATGTACTTATTGCCAGTGAAGAGCACACTTAGTAGTTAAGATGGTAGATTTTACATTATGTGTATTTTACCGCAATAGAAAAATTGGGGAAAATTTTTTAAAAATTTCGTGAGCCTTCCTCTGCCTTCTGTTTTTAAATATTCTTTGAACATATGCCTTGTAGTGACGGCATGATAGTCTCTTGTAGAAAGGCCATCATTTGCTTTTCCAAACCTTGTCAATCTTATTGCCAAGATTTCACCGAGAAATCCTTGTTCCCAAATCTTGAACCACATCTCTGAATATATCTATATCCAGATTCCTTAGAAATGAGATTTATGTAATTTAATCATTCGTTCAATAAATATGATTGCCTACTTTGTTCCAGACGGTGATAAATAAAAGAAAGATGACCTCTGACCACATAAAATTTTTGATTAAGAGGGAAGTACAGACATTAAGCAGCTAACCGCACATTATACTCATTTAACATTAGGATATGGTCTATAAAGAATAGTGACAGCATGTAAAGATTTTTAACTTTTAAAATTGTGAAATAGAACACATACACAGAAAAGTGAACAAAACAAAACTATCCATCTGTGTCACCTCTCCCCAGGTTAAGAAACAGAACTTTGTCATTGCCACTGCTGGTCCCCCCTCTTTTGCACCCCCAGTCTTCCTGCTCCCCAAAGGCACCCCTACATGAAATAAGGCACCCCTATATGAGATCTATGGTAATGTGCCTTTGCTTTATTTGTTTTTCCTTTTGACATTTAAAATGTTTATTATTTTGAAAAATTTCACACCCCCAACTGTAAGAATAATAGCGAGTACCCATTTACCCTTCGCCCGTGTTTCCCAGTAACGTTTGCCAGATAGTTGTTTGCCTCCTCACTCCCACCCATGCACACGCTGCTGTCATTAGTTTTGATGAACTGTTTGAAGATAAGGTGCAGACAGGACCTTTACTCCTAAATATTTTGTCATGTGTCCTTTAAGAGCAAGGGTGTTCTCTTCCACAACTGTAATACAATGATCAGATTTAGGAAATTTAATGTTGATTGAATACTGTTATCTAATATGCAATTCACACTCACAATTTACCAACAGCCCCTCTTATGTCTGTACAGCCACTCTTGAAAAAATCTAGGATTGACTCCAGGATCGTACATCGCATTAAGCTGTTGTCCTGTTTAGTCTCCTTTATCTTTGCTTTGCTTGACAGTTGTGCTATTTCAGCATGCCTCCCCAGACACTGTAATTTGGATTTGCATACTGTGTGAGTCCATTCGTTTATCTTCTGCATGGATTTCCCTTTTCTCACATCAGGTGTGTAAGAGTCTTCCATGTCCCTGTTATTTTTTGTCTTGTTGCTGTGTGGTATTGTGTTGTGTGAATATACGGCATTTGTTTATCCATTCTCCTCATGGTGGACATGTGCCCTAGCCAGCGTTTAGCTGTAACAGAATGGGATGTTGTCCTGAACTTTCTTGTGCATGGCCTTTGGGCCATGTGTACCCTTTTATCGGGTCACATGTCTTGAGTGGAATTGTTGGCTCGTAGTCTGTCCATATACTCAGCTTCAGCAGCTGCTGCCATACAGGTTTTCAGAGCGGTTGCACCGATTTATACTTTTACCACCAAGGTATGGATATTCTAGCTGCCCCACGTCCTTGCCAAGCTTGCTACTGTGCCATCTTTTTCCTGTGACCAGGTCTTTTGTGACGTGCCTGATAGAATCTTTTGCTCATTATCTATTGGATAATGTCTTATAGATTTGTAAAAGTTTTCATAAATTCTTGAAACCGGCCTGCTGTGCTGGTTAAGAAATCTTTCTCTAACTCTAGGTAAGAAAGCATATGCACCTTTATTACTGTCTAGAAATGCTAATGTTTTGCTTTTTGGATTAAGATCTATCTACCTGGAATTTATTTTTTAACAACTTTATTGAGGTATAATTTACATATCATAAAATTCCCCTTTTATAAGTGTACAGTTTGATGATTTTTGGTGAATGTATAGAATTGTATAACCACCACCACATTCCAGTGTTAGAATATGTTCATCACTTAAAGAGTTTTCTCATGCTGTTTGTAGTAAGTTTCTATTCTGCCATCAGCATCCATTGATCTGTCTTCTTTCTCTGTGATCTGCCTTTTTATTTTATTTATTTATTTATTTTTTTTTGAAGATTTTATTGGGGAACTGGGGGAGGGGACAGACAAGCCGCTGTCCTTTTTGCTCCTCAGTCCAGCCGTAGAGGACGCCGCCCCACTGGCCCATGTTGGCATTATCATTACACTCTTCCCGGGTGAGGCCGTCGCCCACCAGCCACTGGACAGCCGCTCACGGCAGCTCACGAAAGCACACGCCAGCCGCCATCCAGCGCCACCGGCCCCCATGTGGGATCCGAACCGGGGCACTGCTGCCCAGAGCTGGCGTCCCAAGCCAACTCTCAACCAATGTGCCACTCAGCTGGCCGTGGGATCAGCCTTTTTAAGAAATTGTGTGTAAATTGAACCATGTAGTCTTTTGGTTTGGCTTCCTTCACAAAGTGTAATGTTCACTCACGATGTAACCTGTATCAGTGGTTCGTTCCTTTTTATTGCTGAATAGTATTCTGTTGCACGGACATACCATACTTTGCTCATACTACTGGAATTGATTGTTGGGTATGATATAAACTATGGCTCACGTGTCATTTTTCTGATTTAGATATCTGATTGTCTAACAACGTTTATTGAAAAGGCTCCTTTCCTTTGTTGTAAATCAATTATCCATATATGTGGAGATCTGTTGGTCTTACACACTGATTAGAAACCATTACTACCACACTGCCTTAATTAGCTAGTGCAAAAATAAGCCTCAATACTGTTCTTTCTGAATTTTAAATCTGTGCTGTCCAACATGGCAGCATATTTAAATTTAAATTAGTAAAAATTAAATAAACTTTAAAATTCAGTTCAATAATCTCAGCAGCCAAATTTCAGGTGCGCAGTAGGCATGTAACTAATAGCCACTGTCACGGGAAGCATGGATTCAGAACATTTCATCATCGCAGAAAGGCCTCCAGCCTAGAGCAGGGATTCCCAGGCTTGTTTGTAAAGGGCTGGGTAATATATTCTAGCCTTGCAGGCTCTGTGGTCTGTATTGTACCTACTCAACTCTGCCCTTCTAATGGGAAAACAGCCGCAGACAGTATATAAACAAATGGACATGTCTAGGTTTCAGTAAAACTTGATTTGTGCAAACGGGCAGCCGGCCCATGGTTGTGGTTTGTGCTGGCTCATGATCTAGAATATTTTAGCTCTTCTTGGTGCTTTCTATTTCCATGTTCATATCAGAATTGTCTTGCTAAATTCTACCAACTTCAGCCCTCAAAGAATAGTTGCAATTTTGACCGGGATTGTATTGAATCTGTAGGTCAACGTGAGAGAATTGACATTTGTACGGTATTGATCTTTCAGTTCCTAAACATGGTGTATGTTTATTTGGGTCTTTACTTTCTCTTAATGTGTTCTGCGTGGAGGACATACATACCTTTTGTTAGAGTTATTCCTAAGAATTCGATTTTTCTGATGCTCTTACTCTGGTGGGGTTTTTTTTTCCCTTAAATGTCATTTCATGTTTTATGTTAGGTGTGGTATGTAGAGATACATTAGATATTTTGTATGTTGACTATCGCACATCCTGGCTAAACTCATTTATTCACATAATATGTCTAGTTATTTCTTTGACTTCCTATGGAAACAACCCTCCAGAGATACTAACACTTCTGTTTCTGCCTTTTTCAGTCTTTGCACTTTACTTTTCTTACCTTACTTCACTGGTAGGACCTCCTAAGCGGAGTCCTGTGAAAGTGGTGAATGGGCACCTTGCCTGGTTCTCCACGGGAACACTTCCCACAATTCCCCGAAAGACGTGAGGCCTGCTGCATCCATGGAGATGACCTTGACTCCTGTCTTTTTTCTTTCCCTGTTACTGTGGCTTTCTGCCTTTCCTAATCTGAGCTAGAGTTTCAGCAGAATGAGATTCTTCAGGTTTCAGTGGGTCCCCTTCTTAAAGCCAGGAAGGTAGCTGCATCCATGATCACAGTAGGGAGTGGTACTTCTCAGCTCTGGGGGCAGCTCCACTGGGAGAGGGAGCCGTCCAGGCCCCTGGCCTCTGCGAGTGAGCATGCCCACCGCATCTTCCAACTGATGGGTCTCCCTCCCCCTAAAGCCAGTGAATGGCATCAGAAAGATAAGGAAAGAAACAGAACCCCCAGCTTATGTCAGACCTTGGAAGTTACATAGTTATGTCGGTTTCTTTCTCTGTTCAGGTCTTGACGGTGATGAGTCTGAGTCATCTTTTATTGCTCTCAGGAACTAGGATTTTAGAGAAACTGTTGAGGTCATTGTGGCCCTGAGAGGCTGTGGGGTTTATACTAGCTTTCTGTGGGTGCCATAACAAGTGAGCACAAGCTTAGTGGCTTCAAACACCACTCACTTAGGACCTCGCAGCTCAGTGGGTCAGAAGTCCAGGCGCACAGCGGCTCCCCTGGGCCCAGCGCCCAGGGCCCACAGGCTGACGTGGAGGTGTTGGCTGGCTGAGCTCTCACCAAATGCCCCAGGGAAGATCCCGCGTCTGAGCTCAGTGGAGGTGTCGGCAGAGTGCAGTTCCCTGCAGCTGTGGGACTGAGGTTTTTGTTTCCTGAGGTGGCTCCAGCCCCCTCATCTGCGTGCTGACAGCAGCATGTTGAGTCCTTGTGCCTCAGGTCTCTGCCGTCCCCTCCTGCCACCTCTCTGACTTCTCCTTTGCTTCATTTCTCAGCCTTTAAGGGCTCGTGAGATTTTACATTGGGCCCCCCGGATAATCCAGGCTAACCCCTATTTTAAGGTCAGTGGATTAATAATCTGAATTATGTCTGCAGAATCTCTTTACTGTCTATAATAGAACGGGTCGGCAAACTGAGGCTCACGAGCCACATGCAGCTCTTTGGGTATGTTCTGTCTCAAAAGTTTGCCGACCCCTGGAAGAGCCAATCCTCACAACAATTTAAAAATTATTCGAGAACCATAAATATATTTTTACATAATCACCATTATGTGAATTATATCCTTTAAAAATTTTACTAATGAAACTATGATAGCTTTATTTTCATTTTCAATTTTACTTCAGAGCCTGTAGCTTGTGAGCCACAGTTTGCTGACCCATGGCGGCTCTTCCATCTCAAAAATTTGCCGACCCCTGATCTAGTAGAACCATCTTAACAACACAACCCTGGGTGTGGCCCCAGGGAGCACAGGTCATGGCGTCAGAATTCTGTCTGACACGGGGTTCAAAGTGTTAAGAATGTGCTCTTTCAAGTCAGATATACCCAGGTTTGAATTCTGGCTCCACCACTTCCCAAGTTCATGACCCTGGGCAAGTGACTTAACCTTTCTAAGCATTAAGCATACAGTCAGAGAAGAGCAATTTCTAATGTGTAGGTAATTTTGAGGAGGAAACGGGAGAATGTGGATAGACGCTTCGTGCAACGCCTGCACCAAGTGAGGCTTTATAAGCGTCAACTGCAGTTGTACTGCTGGTGCTGGTGCTTGGGGCTGGGATTCCTGAGGGAGCCTGCTGACAGGTACTTGGATCAAAGTACCCAGGCTCAGTGCCGTCCAATAGAACTTCTGGGACGATAGAAGTGTTCTGTGTGTGCTGTTCACTAGAGCAGCCACGTGTGGCTGTCGGGCCCTTGACAGGTGTCTGGTACACCTGAGGATTCGAAGTTTTCATTTATTGAGTTCTAATTATTTTTAATTTAAATAGCCACAGATGACTAATGGCTACCAAACTGAACCTCACAGACTAGCATGTAGCATTAGTTTTCAGTTGCATTTGCTTGTGTCACATTTAATTGTGACAAATATAGTACTGCAGAGTGATATGTCTATAGGGCAAAGAAGTCATAAGTATTAGCAGTGCTGTTTCAAATAACTTGAGGAGGAGAAAAGGACTTGGATTTTTGTTTTTTTGCTTTTTTCCCAATACACAGTCATGTGCATTCCAAAATTCCAGGTAGAAAGTAAAATGGCATAAAGCATGACTTCATAGTTTATAGAAGGAAAAAACAAGGGTGGTCAGGATTAGTTTCAGTGATGTTTTTTTAAAAACCTAATTGATGCAAAGGAATCATTAGATTTCTCTGGAAATGTTGGAGGCGGGACTGGGGACCTTCTTTTTTTCCCAGTTTGCGTTAGGCCTGTTCTTAGAAATGTGTTGTCGGGAAGTGACGGCACCAGTGTGAGTGCTCGCTGTGCCGTGTGCTCCTGTCTGTCCTGATACATTCTTATTTTATTTTATTTTTTATTTTTAGCTGAGCCATCCTGCTACCTATTGGCAGCTTAGCGGCAACTCAGCTCAGGCCGGACTCGAACCGCTGTTGCTCAGAGCTCACAGTCTTGAGCGAGCTCTTAACCATCTGAGCCACTCAGCTGGCCCTGTCCTGATACGTTCTTATTCTGCCTGCGAGACTGGGGAGCGCTCGGGGTCCTGCTTTTATACCGCACTCGTCCTGTCTCTCGCTTCACTTGTTCTTGACTGACCGTCAAAACGTCCTTATCCTACACAGCTCAGTATTTCAAAGCCCCATTTGAGCAGAGACCCCCCAAACCATCTTGTTCACATTCGACAACAGTTGCTTCCATTTAAAATAAGCAATAATTAAATCATCTTTACAAACTGGATATTTCTCTATCAACAGTGAAAATTGCATAGCTTTTGGACTCGCTTCGAGCTGTCTGACTTGTGTTTTGTTGTGGGCTTTGCAGCCAGCTTGTCTCGGTCAGCCTTCCTGTCTCAGAGATATTATGAAGACTTGGATGAAGTCAGCTCGACATCATCCATCTCCCAGTCCTTGGAGAGTGAAGACGCACGGGCGCCCTGTAAAGACGAGGATGCGGTGGTCCAGGTCGCTCGGCACGCCCCTGTGGTCCGCACACCTTCCATCCAGCCCGGTCTCCTGCCCCAGGCAACGGCTCCTTTTGCTAAATCCCACCTGCTTCCTGGTCCCCCGGGCGTGATGGGAACTTCAGGTAAGGAAACGGTGAGACAAGAAATTCTCTTTTCTCCCCTGTGAGGTTTCTAACGCATGAAGGAACAATAACGGAGTTTTATGTTATCAGAGCAATAAAGTTGTTCGTTCCAGCCCATTGCTGCTAGTGTTCCAAAAATTAGAGGACTGATTCAAAGGAGGCGTGTTCCCCTGAAAGCCGTGAGGAAGAAGAGACTGAAAGTTCACACCGCGACAGCTTTACTGTTGAGTCCAGCTCGTGTCATTTTAAGCAGGTCTTTTCAAGAGTAAACCGAGGAGGCCATTAGCCTCCGTACAAAGCAGCATCCACACGGGCTTTTCACATCCTCGCTCGTTTCAGCTTGTTACCTTTAGCCATATTCTGCCTCAGAGCTCACCAGCCACAGTGCTCACTGAAGTGACCTGTATTGTACTGTCACACCCTCAGTTCAGGCGTCAGGGCTTTGCATTGAAGTGACTTCTGACGGAGACCTAACACCGAGGGTGAGATACTGCAATGTAGAGATTTTATGAGAGACGAGCAGGAGATGTTAGCATGAAGGTCATATCTCGATCAGCATCAGGGGAGGTGACCATGTAAAGTACTTCAGCGAATAGGCGCGGGCAGGCAGATTGCACGTGGCTTCTTTGAAAGCTGTAGGCACCAGCCTGTCACTTGACGGGCGCTTTTCTGTGTTAGTGCTTAAGGGTTTTAACCTTAGCATTTTCCCTGCGGCCTGACGTGGAGAATTGGCCATTTTAGCTTCCGTGTTTTCCTCTTTGACCCATTCTCTCATTTCATTTTTCTTTTTACCTCAGTGTCTACATCTACTAGCAAAACCATTCCCCAAGGGGCCGATAGCACAATGTTCGCAACAAAAACCGTGAAGCACGGTGCACCTGGTCCTTCCCACCCCATCTCAGCTCCCCAGGCGGCCGCTGCTGCAGCCCTGAGACGACAGATGGCCAGTCAGGTGCCAGGTAAGCACTGTAGCCCCACACCTCTGCAGAGGCTGATTAGGAGCTGTCTGCGTCACAGGCCAGGATCGTAGGTGCCAGGAAACACCCGGCTCTCTTGGGTGCCCTTCAGAAGAGAAGACTGATGTGACAGCCCTGCCTGCTTTCAGGGGAAAGAGTTCTGAAAAGGAGGTGTTAGATCTGCCACATTGTGATAAGTAGGAAATGTGGGTTTCTGATGAAGTTGTTAATCGCTCCTTTTGAATGATGTCTGCTTTAAGCACCAAATTAATCTTTGCAGTTAGATCACCCAGTAACATTCAAATCGTCTCCTGGTATCTTGAGGATCTCAGCCACCCTGTGTAGGCGGGTAGCGTGCCCACTTTGCTTTTGAGTAATGTAAGGTTCAGAGGGGTGAAGGTGACCCGACCAGTAAGTAGCAGAACCCGGACTCCAACCCTGTGCTCTTTCTGTTGCAATACAGCTGCTGCTTAAGACTGCACATGCGGCCTTTACAGATAGAAACTCTCGGGGGCACTTGCATTTTGTCAGTGGTTTGTGGCTGTCCGAAAGTTTCTACGGTAGGATTTTTAGGTGTTTGGCCTCAAGGACTTCCGTTATCACTAGTTACCAATTTGTACAAGTCAGCGGCTCTCAACGGGAGGCTATTTTGCCCACCCGNTTTGGCCTCAAGGACTTCCGTTATCACTAGTTACCAATTTGTACAAGTCAGCGGCTCTCAACGGGAGGCTATTTTGCCCACCCACCCACCCTCCCAACAGTTGGCAGTGTTGGTGGTATTTAGTGGGTAGAGGCCAGGAATGCTACAAAAAAAATTGTTTTTGTTTTTCTTTCTTTTGCATATCACTTACTAAAAGCATCATTACAGTTGGCAACGATTTGTATTTTATTTTACATGAAACAATTTTCAAAGAAAAAAATAAAAGGACATCGTAACAAAGCAGTACATTTACAAAGTCTATAAACTTCAAGGCTAGTTTAGAGCTGAGGTAATGCTGACTAAGCTTTGTGGCCCAAGTAACACGAGTCCTTGAATTTACAAAAGGTACCTGATTCTCTAGCCTCTCGCTTCTGTTCTTCTTGTTTCTTTTGTTGATTCCACTGCATTACAAGACCATGAGACGATAGAACTGGAGTTCTGTTTGGCAAGAACCCTCCCAGTAGGCTAGTTATCAGAGGGACCCCTCAGGACAGAGACGCTCACACTAACGTGGAGATGGTCCGAGTGTGTGGATGTGTGTGTGCGCAGGTGTGGGAACCCCCTGCCGTCAGAAAGGGCAGCATGAGCAACATGACGTGTGTGGGAACTGGCGCCCGGACCTTCACAGCAAAACATGAACGTTAAACATGTAACTTCTTACTTCTGTTGAGCAGCACCTCCTTCCGTTAGTGCTACTCAGTTACAAATCGCTCTTAATACCAGTGACACCAAAAGAAGAAACAGCATTATGTACATTTCCTTAAAAGGACATGATCACCTCTCAACTTTCATCCCTCCTAGGGATAGTAATAAATAATGCACAGCACAATACTTAATGACCAAGATACCTTTTGACACACCTGTATAACATGACTTGGACTTTTTTTTTTTTTTGCTGCAGAAAAAAATCTTCTGCACAGGTGACCCCCACAACAAAGGGTTATCCAGCCCCACAATGTCAGTAGAGCCAAGGCCGAGACACTGCTATAAATTAAATATATATATATATATTTTTTAGATAATTAAAATTTTTTTAGTTTTATCACTGCTTAGAACACATGCCAATTTAGAGAGCTTTTATTAAGACTGAAAAGGCATGGTTTGATTTAGACAAATCAGAATTACCATTATACAGTGATAAAAGATTTCTAAGAAAAGTTGAGATGCTAAAACGCCTTATCAAGGCATCTGAAATAGATATGACGGAGCATCAACAAAATAACTTTTCAAGGTACCTTCGAACCTTCTGGAAGAACAGAATCCTTTGTGAGTATTACTTAGACTGAGCAGAATCTTGGCATTGTGCTAAACAAGCCCAAATCAAGCCGATGATTTATAAAGGTGAAATTGGCCAGGGTTTAGGACTGTTCCACTCTGAGCAGGCGGTGTGTGACCTCTATTATGACTTTGGAAGCAGAAATTCCTAAGGTGTCCTTTGCACATGAAAGATGAAATCCGTGCAGCCGTAGGCAAGATGTACAGGGTGCTTCTCCGAAGCAGGGCGTGAGACGGGCTGCCACTGACTGACCCGCCGTTCTCACCAGGCTGCGGCTTTCAGCTCTGCCAAATGTGCAGTGAGAAGAGACCCGAGAGCTTTGCACAGGCCTCCTTATAGTTAGTTACAAAGTACCAGGAAGCCTTAAGTGCACCTCTAAATCCTAACACACCCACACGAGACGTGAAATGGATAAGTAGGTGTCGGACCAGTCCCTGTTGCCGACTGTAATTCAGGCCCCTCGGCCGCTTCCGCCGTTCCGGCCAAGCTCCATTTCCCCCATTTTACTCAGTGTGTCTGTCTCACTAAGCCGTGAGCCCTGTTAGAAAAGAAAACCTCTTCGACATGTTTTTGTATTCCCAGCACCTAACAGCGTGTGGCAGTAGTAAGCCCATGTGGAGGAATGGTTGAGCGCGTGAGGGAATCCTCAGCCTGAGCACTGCTGGCCCTCCAGCCCTGCCTGCCCTTTCCCAGGATGAGCCAGCAGTGGCAGGTACCTCAGCTCTGCTCTGCAACAACTGGCTAGGGAAGCCTTTTTCCCAAACTGGTGCATTTGATTAAATTGCACGAAGCCTCGTCTCATAATATTTCTGAAAGGGGAGGCCGGGTGTTCCACTGAGCATCAGGCTGCAGAACTGCCGAGAGTAGATTCCTTTATGTGAGATTGCATTCTGCCTGAGTTTGCATCCTGGTCATTCATGTATACACGGCTGGACTTTTCAGTTCTTCCCTGCAATTAATATGCTTCTCTGTTCTCTATTAAAACAGCTGTAAGTACCCTGACGGAATCCACTTTGAAGACTGTCCCGCAAGTGGTAAATGTGCAGGAATTGAATAATCCTTCACCAGCCTCTGCAGCCTCTGCAGCCGTTGGGTATGTTCCTCCTTTGCGTGTGTTTAAGCCAGAATTACTCAGTAATGACGGGGGACCGCCTGCAGGGAGCAGCACTGTCACTGCCGTGGTGCATCTCTTCCCAGCAGAGCCTCAGTTATAAGGGCTGGACCGCTAATCCTGGACACCTAGTTGGGTTTTCAGGAGATTGCCCCCTTTTGGTTGTCTCCTAAACCTTTAAAGTCTGTGTTGGTGATGCAAACTCAGCAAGCTGTTTGCAGTGTGTAAGTGGTACACGTTAGGGTTAAGTCAGGTGTGGGGCTGGAGGTTTGTTTGTTTTTTTGTGGTTTTTTTAATATTCTTGGGGTTTCAGAGTAGACGCTTCACTTTTAATGCAGACAGTTGATTTTGAAAACTCATGGTGATCTTGAGATTGACAGCCTCCTCTCTCCAGGCATTTCTCTTCTTTCAAGTTTCTTTTGCCTTTTGTATGAAAAAAAAGAGAGAGAGAACCAGTCTTTCAAAAGGCAGCAGCTGTTTGGAGACTTCCAGCTTCTCTTCTGTGCTGCATTTGAGGGCTGGATCATTGCTGCCGGAGCTTGCTTTTCTCTAGTGCGGATCTCTGTTTAGAATTCAAGGCTTGGCTCCCTCCCATAGGTCTGGGCAGCACAGTTCATAGAACATGCCCGTCCTCTCGCTCTGTGATCTCTTTAGTCCAGCCCAGCCTCCCCTGTGGCACAGGGAAGAGTCAGCGGACACGTCCCCAGGTTGAATGTAGGGCCATGAGGACCGGTGTCATTCAGGGAGCTCGTGCCTGGGGCCCGTGGTTAGTCCAGCAGCAAGCAGAGCAGCCCGGACCCTGTTTTCCCGTCGCGCCTGCTCTCTAGGTCCCCCACCCCGCCCCCGTCTACTCCCTGCTCCGTTGGGGCTTCATCAGGTGGCCCCGCTTCACCAGTCCACTGGCCTTCCTTTTTTCCACATCGCTCCATTTATCAACACTGCCTATTCCAGGAATTTCTTAGTTATCTCAGGGCCATACTAACAGCCATAAACAAGCCTACCCACGTTCGTATCTCGCAGTGACCTTGAAGCTTTGGTATGCTGTTTAGACCGAGATGGCATTTGTGGTTGTTGCGAACTTCTCAAGGGAAAGAATTATGCATTTGAGTTTGGGAATTGTAGCCAGATTCCGAGTGTAGGGAAGGCAAAGGAAAGCCACTGAAAGGCAGATGTTACCTAAGGGGAAATTACAGTTAAATGGGGAGAGAAATGTGGTCTGGTGTTTCTGAGATATTTTAGCCACTAACCACGTCTGAGAAGCATCTCTTGGTGTTCACTCTACCTTTGTTCATGCTTTGTTTCCTTCAAATGGTTCACCTTGAGCTGATCTTCAATAAGGGCTTTATTAGAGGAGCAATTCGGATTTTGCCCTTTTTTTCTGACTTAAGAAAAATAGACATAAAAGTTAAAAGGAATTTGAAGGAAACGTTCTCTTCCTTTCCTTGCAGAATTGGACTCTGGTACAGTTACTTAACTCGGACGACCGGCATGGGACCTGGAGTGTTACTAAATGGAAATCGATTCTTTCTACCTCCCCCAATAAGAACGCTTCAGAGGGAAATACATTCATTATAAAATCACTGTCAGATTCTGTTAAGCAGTAGTTTCCCACGTGTATTTTAAGTTCCTTAATTTTGCATTTAACTTTTTCTGAGTAGCATCTTACAGAAGATTTATTATAAGATGAGCTTAATATTGAGCTTAATAATGAGCCGTTGGCATGTCTTGTGTTCACTGGCTCCATCCATTGTGTCACTGACTAACCGTCCTGTTTCAAGGAAGAGGGTTTATTTGGATGAAACCCCTTGACTATTCAGACTCCTGTCCCGTGCTCGCTCCCTTGGTTCATCAGTCTTATGAGCACGATACTGCCCAGGTATTGAGGACATAAAAGTAAATAATACACACCAGGTCCCGCTTTTATGACACTTACATTTTAAAAGGAAGACACCAGCTAAATGGTCAATTACACAAGCAGTTATTTAGTTGCAGTGTAGTACTTTCGATGAAGGTGTTGGAAAGCATATGATGAGGCTGGGTTGGTGAGGAAACGGGGTTTTAGCTGCAAGTTGAACAGTGGCTAGAAAGTGACAGGCAAAGAGTGCAGAGACGAGTGTTCTGGGCTTAGGGTGCAGAGTGTGTGGGGGCCCAGAGCTGGGGGAGGGCAGAGCTTGTTGGAGGCAAAGTTAGAAGAAGGCCGGTGTGACCAGAGACCTACAGGAGGTGGAGTGTGAAGAGAGGGGTCCTGAGTGAGGTGGGATTTTTGGTTCGCTTGTTTTTACCACAACACACCAGACACATCATCCCTTTATGGAATTTTGGCGCTCATTTATTCGTTTTCTTCAACACATACTTATTGAGCACTTTCTGTATGTTGCACACTGTTCTAGGTGCTGGGTATAAAGCAGTTTACAGAACAGACCAAAAAAAACAAAAACAGCCCTGCTCTAGTCACAGAGAGACAAATGATAAATGAAATTAATTAGCAAAATATATAGTATTTTAGAAGATATAGGGATGAAGGAGAAAATTAAAGTAGGGAAGGGGTTTAGGGATTATTGTCTGGGCCTGTGCTGCAGTTTTAAATAAGGCGACCAAGGAATGTGCTTCTCGTACATGGTTAATGGCTAAAATATCTCAGAAATACCAGACCATGTTTATTTCACCAATAAGCTGGATTTTCCTGTCTTATGTAATAGCCTTTCAGTAGCTCTTGACACTTGACATTTGAATAAAGCCGAAAAGGCCAGAGAGCAGGTCGCATGCATATCCTAAGGAGGAAAGCTCCAAGCGCAGGGCCTGTACTGGGAGCTTGTCTGGCAGGTTCAGGAAAGCCAGGTGGCCCTGTGGCTGGAGCAGACATCAAGCACTGGAGACGAGGTCAGGAAGTGGGGGCGGGGTGGGGGCTTATATCATGTTACACCTAGTAGGCCTGAATCAGGACCTGGCAGACCATTGATGTTTTCTGAGCAGTTGAGTGATCTCATTTGGTTTGTGTTTTGTTTTGGTTTGGTTTGGTGTTTTTTTTAAAGATTTTTTTTTTTTTTATTATTGGGGAATTGGGGGAAGGGGAACAGACAAATTGCTATTGTTTTGTTCTTCGGTCTAGTTGTGGAGGACATTGCTTCACTGGCCCAAGTTGGCACCACCATTGCGCTCTTCCTGGGCGAGGCAGATCAGTCGCTGGCTTCTGGACCGCTGCGGCTGCTGGCCACTCACACTGGCTGCTGGCTACACACGGTAG